AATATTTGAATGAATCGCAAAACGCACATGAATCTAGTGCAATGGTAAATCATCTACTACGTTTACCATGGAAACCCAAGAGCCAAATTAGAAGGCATTAACTGTCCAAAGCCTCTTTGAATCTTCCTAGTTAGAGAATTTGTAGATTATACGAGGTGGCTTCTCTTGATCGACGTGATGTGACATCTTTCATCAGTAGGCGTCGATTCTTGGAGCATGTGATTATCAAGCGTGATACTTTTATTCCTTCCCTAATGTAACAGTTTCGTACACAGATAAAGTATATATTTATTCACATTCCATCCCCTTCTTGCCTGGAGATACCTCTCCTCCTGTTCCGGGTGAGGACAGAGTGCGTCCGTTCGTCACAGGATAATTTAACTAGTAATTAACAAACAAAAAAGTGCACTCGGATGATGAGGGTCATGCTGTGCGAAGCACGCGTCGGGGTAAAAAGTACAACAGTACTGCACAAATGAGTATAGGTTCCCTAATGAAACACTATTCTACCCATACGAACGTTCCCTCTTCCAGACAAACTTCTGTTCTGTGCATGAATGGATTGTGGACACTGGATCGAGACAAATAAGGTAAGTGTTGCTGGAATGGATGGGTGTACATGAGTATGATATTTCGTCTGTCTGCATATTTTTCGTCTCTTTCCGTTCATGTGTAATATTTTAGTAACTTATTGAATTTTTTTTCAAAAATAATGTTGTTAGAAACATTTTGACCTCATTGATCAGAATAACCGAGTAGAAATCATGTTAAGAATGGAACAGATGAGCAACATATTGACATAACTACAATATTGTACAACTCTGTGAGACTTCATTCTACCGGAAGTAGAAGGTGAATGACAAGCTTCAATTCTTCCTAACCTTATCTGTATAGTTTGTACAAAGATTCGATGTTATTGAGACTATTTTTGTACTCCATTAAAGGTGAAATTTTGACAAAACATATTGGGGGTCTCGTGCTTTGGTCCTGCATCAAATTATACAAACCGCGTGAAATTCGATGAAATTCATTGTGAATAGAGTGGTGATCAGTTCTGGGTGAGATTGAATGGAGAGATTGCAAAAAAGTTGCATTTCTAATCCCACTACCGGTTTGGCAGAGCCTGTATCTATCCATTCCACGATAGTCACCGGATGAATGTACAGTGAATGGGAATGGTCTGAGTGGGGGATAGGAGCGGATGTAAACCAAAAATCATTCTAACCGCAGATTGATTTTTTATATAACCGAGAACGGCCCGTCAAATCGTCCTGAGGTATGCTCTGTTCAGCTAATACGAAAGATATTTCTTTATCATTAGTTACGTGGTTAATGTGCAATTTCCCGGCATATTTTTGGATCTTGGTTCACATTAACAAATGAGCCTTTAAATAGACAACAAATTTACGAGGCGTGATAGATGCGTCTCATTGCATGCTCTAATTGATTGTTTCAAAATCCAGACATTTCATCTTATTTAGAAGAAAAATCAATGTAGAAATTGTCAGTCGGCACGTATAGGAAAAATGCTCAATTGGCCTTTGCCAACTGTGACGTCCTTGCAACATCGGACTGCGTATGAGGAGCCGACTACATGCAACAGCAGTTCGGCAAGTGCTGCCACACAGTGCAGAAACTTGGCTATTAAGCAACCAGGATACAAAATAGACTGTCGGTGTTTGAACACCGCTGTCTATGCAGTATAACAAGAATCCGCTGGGGCAACCGGACTAGCACTGCTGAAGTTAGGCACATAGATTTAGGTAACCGCGGTCCTTCGGCTTTTCATAGGCACCAGGCACCGTTGATGACATGGGTTGTGGGTTAAACTCTTTGAGTTATCATTAATCCCACACTACACCTTTTCCCATCAAGCTTTAGCCAGAACCCAAAATCCTTTAGCCTCGACGCACAACCTTTAGTCACACCGTTGTAGGCGAGTCAAAACAAAAACTATCGGAATATTCTGAGGTCAACGAATGTTGAAAACATTTATATTTTACAAATTTTGATACTGCAAAGCTTGACTAATAAATGAGAAAGTGTGGCGATCGTATGCTGCGCAGTTGACTGTAGTAACGGTATCAAATGCCGCACCACATAGTGATTGGAGTTGGTTTAGACGATGTGCCCGTATCGTCAAACAATTTGGTATATCTTGTATGGCTTCAGTGTTTTCAGTGAACCAGTTTTTAATGTACTAAATGAAAAACGAATTAAAGGATCGAAATCGCTCACCTGTTTGAATTTACTGAAGATCTCTTCCAATGGATTAAAGAAGGGATTGTATGGTGGGAGAAAGCGGACTTGGTGGTTGACACTTAATTGCGCATCCAAAGCTCTCCGATGAACGGGTGCACTGTCAAAGATAAAAACAACTGGGACACCCGGTTGCTCAGTAGCGCTTAGCGTAGAACAGCTTGATACAAACCCATTGAAAACATGCCAATTAATCTTTGCATGACATTCGTATTTCAGGATACCGGCGACAGATGAACATGCTATTATGTTCAAGTTGATTCCTTTGTTGGACGGAAGGCTTCTAATGGTTTTACAGCCCACTTTGGGCCGTCCATATGTTGTAATTACTTGTTGTAATTAATATACAGTCTCAGGATTGCGTTGCCCGATCTCTGTAACGAATCGGCATATTACGCTCGTTTCACTTTGACAGCTTCCGAGTTCCGTTCCATGGGCTGGATGGTCAGCTTGTTAATTGATGTCCATCCAGCAATCGATCAATGGAAGTCTTGCTGAGAGATATACTCGGGAAGTCCGTCCCCATGCGTTCCTTTAACTGCCTCAACGTGGCTTTAGGCTTCTCATCGACAACATCACATAAATGTTTTGTGAACTCGTCGTTGAATTTAGTCTTATAAGACCCAGGGTTTAGTGTTACTTCCCGATTCGTGGCTGCAATAGCATGACATGTTTTGATCTTGATGCCGAGGTGTTTTGTAACTTCTTTCAACTCATCACGTCTGCGTGCACATTCAATTACTCTTCGTCGATCTTCCGCACTGGTGAAACGATAGGGTCTTTTCTGTCCATCCGACTTCACGTTCTCCATATTACAGATGAGCGTAATTGTAGGCAAGGTACAACAAATATTACGGTCACCTATCGTGGTGAGCTTTTATAGCCCCATTACTGACGAATCGAATGCCGCATGATGAGACTGCAAAGAAAATCTGAGATGCGTTACTTCTGTGAATAAAAATCTCGAATGTAACACAACCGGTACATTGTTTTTCTGCGTTCACAAATCAAAAAAGCGATATCACAAAAATGTAAATGCTCACCGTTCCGTGTCTTCACTCAAAGTGAACTCTGTTCATGAGAGATGGATACATCCCAGTCC